CTGGTGCGCAAACCGGAGACGCAGTGGCTCGTTCTCATCGCCACACCCTGCCCCACATGGCCGAAGGGGCCGTGTCTCGCTTGACGGGCAGCGCCCCTACCGACACGAAAGGCACGCATTGTGCTACGATGCCATGGCGGCTACGCGTCACTAGGAGACAGGACGTTTTCAGCTGTCACAACTTTGCAGGACCACTGCCATGTGTGCCGTCTGCGGTCTGTCAATGACCGGAACGCCTTGGGGTACATGACTGTTTCAGTGACAAACACTGTGATAAAACAGCAGCTGGCAGCAGTTTTCAACCGTGTGGTTGTGGGGACACCAATGTCACACTCCCTGACACCATCGGTCCACTTTCCAGGAAAACTAAGACCGCAAAAACGAACAATGCCACCAGAACTACTCTTTTTTCCCATCGACCATAAATGTTTTCAGAGACACTGACTCAAGCTCATGAAAGCCGCTGGAGCTGCCTGGGCGCACACAGGCCACACAAGGCTGCTCCTTGACGTGCTCAGGCTCGTCTCCTCACGGCCGGGGAAGGTCCATGGCTGTGTTCAGGGCCTTTCGAAGCGGCAGAGGGAGTGACTGTACACCTGGCCTGTCCACTTCGGGCTCCGTGTTAGAAAGGCGCCTGGCGCTGGCTTTGAAGCAAACGCTTTGGTCACTTAACGCTGTAATCAGGGACCACCCACTGGGGCTGTTATCGACCGCTAGACTGCTGTGCTCCCCGGGGCCTCCACTACCTCGCCACTTCCTTTTAGGGCTGGATCTCTCACTGTCGTGGGGGGCTGTCCTGTGCACCGTAGGGTTCTTGGCAGCATCCCTGTCCCGGCCCACTAGGTGTCAGGAGCACCCCCGCCCTGTTGTGTCGACCCAACACGTCCCCAGGTATGCCTAGATGTCACCGCAGGGAGGGAGACGGCACCCTGGTGACAACCACTGTTCTACGGAAGGCCTCGCTTAACGTCGTCCATAAGTTCTGCAACTTCAAGCGAACCCAGTGGTACCGCAGGGTAAGTGACATAAAGCAGCTATGCTGCGATGGCATCTCACCAACGCCACGACCGACGGCCCCTGAGGGCTTGCTGTTCTGACACGTCTCACTGGGGGAGACGCACAGGTTTCTGCAAAAGCCAAATGTCTAAGCTCCCCGCGGATTCTCAGCGGGGCTCCTGTCCTGCTACCATCGCAGAGGCTGACGCCCGACACCAAACGCACACTCGAGAAGCTGCCGCGCGCTGGGAACGGTGGCTTTCTGAACCTGCCCACGGCCCCTTGCCGGGACGACACAACACTGTGTCACGGCACTCACACCACTTCCAATCACAGAAATGGCAACGTGTGCCTCGAACGTGCACTGGTGTTGGGACTTCATTAGCAAATTCAAAACCCTCATGAACAACTGGGACCAGAAGTGTGGGAGCTGACTTACTGTAGTATCATTAAGACTGTAAACCACCCCAAAGTCCAAACATAAGACAGCAGCAGCTGCACTAAGACGTGAAACAGATGAGAATGCTATCCAAAACGATCACTGCTTTCATTAAAAGCTTCCTTATTTTAGAAACCCTTTTCTTCGTTTTCCAAAAAAACACTTTCTCCTTAGTGAAGCAAGGATTGTTGCACTTTCACAATGAAAAATCTGCTGTTACTACACCAGCCTCACCTTCTGGAACATTTCCACCGATTATGCACAAAGCTATGCTGTGCTTCTGCAACTGTGGATCTAGCGGGGACCTGCTGGTAAGTGGAGAATCGTAAATGGAGGAGCCACGTCGGACTAGAATCCTGTCACGCGACGAGCAGCACATGACAGTGGTCACGTCACAGTAACGTACTAAATCAGCAGCCAAGGGACACATGTATTCTGGACACACACCAAGTGACGGTGGCTCTGTGCCATCTCCAGGGGAACTCAAACACAGATGGGACCTGGTCCCCCCAGGAGGAGCAGCAAGGGAGAAAGCTGAGTGAGGTGAGCTACAGCACAAGGTGAGGAGGAAACGTCTCGTGTCCCCCCTCCCAAGCTGACAGCAGAAGGGGCCCTGACTCCTAGGGCTCCGAGCACATGTGCCCACCTGGGGGCCTACAGGAGAACCTGGCTTCAGGTTCTCTCTGCCTCCCAGAGAGAAACCGTGGCCCAAGTTTCAAAAGTTTATGCAGCTCACTGCACTTCAATAAAAAAGCAGTTTAAAAAAGGAAACTGGCATACTGTGACCTGGCCAGTTCTGCGACTGAGCATCAGTGAACAAGCGCCCTTCAAATCAGAGCCTGTGCTGACGGCGTCCAAGGCAGGGACACTTCCTTTCCCCTGGACCAGAATGTCTGTGAAACTGAGACGTCGCGACAGAGCCTTCGGAAGGGAGGGGCACCCCCAGATGGACCTCTCCGG